TCTTAATTCCTATAACCAGGGCTTCAATCATTTGACGTTTGTTTATGCTCTTTTAGAGAACGTGTATTAACTAACGTATAGCGGATGTTTTGTTGATCGTTTTATTGTTGTATTTATTTTAGTTTATGTTACAATTTTTTTATATTAATTTTCATTATTATGAGAATGCTTTGTTGGGGATATTCTTTCTGTATGCATCCCGAATATGTAATAAATAAATAAATACCACGTTTAGAATACTGAATATTTGTGGAAAACGACTAGATATTGTTTACAGATGGCTACAAGCTGTTGGCAGAAGACAGTTACAACATGTAACTAGTTACTGCTGGCAAATCATTAGATACGGCTTGTAAACTTCATAATTCTGATACAAGACTAGATACTACTAGCAAAAAACTAGATGTTACTAATGGAAGACTAAATACTAGTAATAGATTAAATACTGATGGCAAAGTACAATATAGAAGGCAGGATGTTAGTGGAAGAAGAATAGATAATGCTGGCAGAGGATTAGATACTGTTTGGCAACAAATTGACTACAAATTGCTTGCAGAACACTACTTGCCGCTTGTAGAAGACAAAACACTATTTGAAGAAGACTAGATACTGTTGCAGAAGAGTATATACTGCATGTAGAATACAATATATTGGTTTTAGAAGGCTGAATAGTACTGCAATAAGAGTAGATAATGCAGACAGAGTATAATGTCCTACGGCGCCATAACTTTCTTATATGATACGGACGAAACTCCGCGACTATATAGAATTAATAGGGAATTTTCCGCCCTATACAATGGTATATATATTGAGTACATCCAACAGTTACACAAAGATTCCCGCTAAAAACTGTGAAAACCGCGTATAATTGTTATATATGAATATTTACGGCGTCATAACTTTCTTATATGATGCGCACGAAACTTCGTGAGGATATGGAATATGTAGGAAATTTTTCACTCTATACAGTGGAATATAAGTTTAGTAGATACCTTGGTTACAAAAGAATTTTTCAAACAAAAACTGCGAAAACCGCGTATAATAGCTCCTGTTTCCGAAGCTAGATACTGATTGTACAACACTACCTATTGCTTGTAGAAGATTAGTTATTCCTGATAGAAAGGAAGATACTGCTCGCGGAAGATTGTGTACTGTTCGAAAAAGGCTAAATACTATTTATGGAGGAATAAACATCATTAGTAAAGGATTAGATTTTGACGGCAGTGAAATATATTATTCATAATGTAATTGATTGTCTTCAGAGGATTATAATACATAAACAGCAATAATAACAACCCAACCCAACCCAACCTAACCCAACCCATCCCAACCCACTTCCGCCATCCATCACTTCCTCACAGTTCCATACAGTTTACACCTTCTCTCCTCATACTCCATCCAATATCTATTGACCCTCTCTTCATTACTATACCTAAATCCATTCCACCAACCCCTTTCCCTACTCGCCCCCCTCCGCCATCAAGTACTTCGGTAACTTCTCTGCCATAATCTCCCCCATTTTGAATTATACCTACTTTCCCTTATCTTTGTCCTTCTCTGTGGCATTCCCACATCCCTATTCCAGTGTATAACGCGAAACTCCCTAGTCAACCCCAACTCCCACCTCTAACACATCCTCTAACAGCCCCTGCTCCTTCTATCCCCATGTCTCCACCCCTAACATCATAACGCTTTCTATCAAGCGCTCAAACATTATTTTCCTTTTTGCCACATCTCCTCCAAATATCCACTCACCCCATTCCCAGACATGTCCCACGAGACCAGGCGGAGAAATAAATACTGATTACAGAAAACTTTTAGTCCATTATTTTGGACTCGGTCTAGGACTCAGAAAATAAAATGATAGAAACCTAAATCACCTCCTAAATGATCTACTTGGGGACTACCTATTTTAAACCAGAAAAAAAATTCTATTTAAGAATATACTACAATTTTTAATTCAGATAATACGAAATAAAGAAATTGTAACTTTTTATATTTATTTATTTTAAATAATTTAAATAAGACTATTTTCCCGCTAGAATGTGACGTCACTCTGAATAAGCAATCCTATTGGTTCGTCGCAACCATCATTCTTTTGACGTTGACAGCTAGTAACGAATTAATTCTTAAGCCTTATTTCATTACAAAAAAAAATTAAGCTTATTCATAAAAGAAATCAGTAATTACTAAATTGTGTGAAAATCAAATAATTGATTGAGAATTGTTTAAACGTCACTAATAAACGTTAATAACAAACGGGTTTTTGTACAATCGATGGCCCGAAACGTTTATAATCTATATTAATTATCGAATAAAACACCCGAAGCGATATTCTCTCGAATACGATGAAAGAGAAAACGGGGCCCGCGGAGAGAGAAACATATTTACATAATCGAACAATAAACGTTTCGGTTTCAGTTTGGCTCGTGTCTTGATGCACATTCCAATCATGAAAAGCCGTTTGTTCGTTCCCAATATTTATTATTCCAATTCGAATTCCAATAATCTCTCTCTAACTCAAAACTTAAGATAACTAAATCGGCCGAGAAATTCGCAACAACCTTTCGTTATTTTATTTACATTTCGTATTTATATCTCATTCAAAAGAAACGAAATTCTTTTTTGCGATACCAAGCATTTCGAATGTCACACCACGTTTTAAAATAGCCTTATAATTAAATAGCACGGATTGCTATGAAGAATTTCGCACAAATTTATTATTTTATTTCCGCATAGTATCTCAATAACTGATTGTTATTGGAAATTGGACATGTTTATGTTCGTTAATTTGAACGTTTTCTTACAATAAGACATTTATAACACCTTCAACGTTTACTATCTCTATTAACGATCATTTAAAATCGTTTGAAACGGTTTGAACTTGTTTTCAAATTGCTTGATTAAACGAAATTTATTACTTGAGTGGTTACTAATTGGAGAAAAATATGATTAAACTTGGTTTTATTTTTGTTTTTGAGTTAATTTCAGGGAAGAAATGAGATTTATTATTGGTTAAATAATTAAATAATTATTGCAAGTGCTGGGGGGAAGGCGGAGAGGAGGAGATGGATGACGAAGGTGGTATTCCTCCATAAACAGTATTTAGACTTTTTCTAGCAATATACAGTCTTCTGCGAGTAGTATCTTGCTTTCTGTCAGGAGTAACTAATCGTCTACAAGCAGTAAGCAGTATTCCGCAACCAGTATCTAGCTTCGGAAACAGTATCTAATCCTCTATCTGCATTATCTAGTCTTATTTCAGTACTATCCAGCCTTCTGAAACCAATATATTGTATTCTACAAGCAGTATTTACTCTTCTGCAACAGAATCTAGTCTTCTTCAAGTAGTGTCTTGCCTTTAGAAGCAGCAAATAGTGTTCTGCAAGCAATATCTAGTCTTTGGCAACAGTATCTAATCCTCTGCCAGCATTATCTAGTCTTCTTCTAGTAACATCCAGCCTTCTAAGACTACTATATTGCACCCTGCCATCAATTATTAGTAATATCTAGTCTTCCATTAGGAATATCTAGTTTTTTACCAACAGTATATCATCTTGTATCAAAAATATGAAGTTTACAAGTCGTATCTAGTGATTTACCAGCAGCATCTAGTTATATATTGTAACTGTCTTCTGCCTGCAGATTATAGTCATCTGTAAACAGTATCTAGCATTTCTCCAGAACTATTCAATCTTCTAAACGCAGTATATTGTATTCTGCAAGCATTGTCGCTTGCATTTTAAACTACTAAAACACTGGAAATCTCGTAGGCCGTTGTTTAAAGCCTTAAAATCAACGTCAGAAGTAAAAGAATGGACTGGTTAGGCAAAACTAGCCTCGATCTCGCATCTTCTTGTTGGTTATAGTATCATTAATTTCGTGAGTGTCCACATAAAACAACATATATTTTGCTATGTTGCTGATACAACTTTGGTGCATTATTATTGGTTAAATAATAATTATTGGTTAATAATTATGGTGCGATATGACCGTTTCTGTTAAGCTACTGAATCGTAATTAAACGTTCCAAAAATGGTATAACGTTGAGTGACATGTGTATGGGTGAGCGGATTGCGCGATCAAAAAGTCTCTCGCGCTCTTGACGTACTGCTGAACTAATTTGCCAAGGTAAACGCACCAGTTGGCGGCATTCTGTTTAACAAAATCATTATTGCACTTTGAGAATCGCAAAATTAATAGTAGGGATTAATTATTAGATTCTTTTAAAAAATGTCAAAGACGCCATGAACCATAAAACCGACTTGGAAGGTTATTATTTCCTAAACAAAAAAATTTGAAATTAAAGAATATTATCATTCCATGAAATCTCACTGCATTTTCTGCATTAACACAAGAGTCAAGTAAGAAAACGAACGACAATCGCCCTGAAGCGATTAAAAATCCAAAAACGAGCCTGACCTAAATCACGATTTACATTCTCGTTCCTCCACAACAAAACTTTAAAACCCATTTATTTATTATCCGCTATAAAATGATCAATCTTTTTATTTAATTTATTTTTTTGCGTCAATTTTGTTTAAACGAATGTACAAAACGTGTTTTGAATCAACAACAAACACATTTGGAACGATGAATGATATTTAAATTCTAATGTGGTTGAAAAATGCGCGGACGCGTGTAGGAAATCTTAAAACGACCAAGTACTCGTTAGTTTTATATTGTCAATTCCACTGGTGGCTATCATCCTTCCTTTTTCTTCTTTCTTATTCTATTACGAAGCAATCCGTGTTTAATATGCTCGCCTCGAGTTCTCTTTTCTTACTTACAAGAAGTGACTCTGTGCGAGGCTTGGGAATCGTCCCATTTAGAAAGGGAACAGATGCATAGATGCGCGTATAATCGGTTCTTATTACTACTTAAAACTGTTGGTTGGCTTAAAAGGATTTTTATTCCAATGTGAAGTACTAAACGGTTCTTAAGTTGACTTATGATATAATATGGTTAGTTATGTAAGAAAATAAATTAAAAAATCGTACCTTATGTCATGGTTTTTCTTTGTAACTTCGGTTTTGGTCGATACTAAAATACGAAAAAAGATAATTAATAACAAGATTTGTATTAGAAACTAAAATTATAGGTTGATGTTGTTTAGCATTAATTTTTGAGCTATATAGACGTTTTCGATTGAGCAAGTTACCTTATTATTAATAGACGATAATCGTTGAGATATTAATCTAGATGCCCACGTTTCAAAAATTTACATAAGATTAATTTCGTAGTCCGATTAATAATTAATTAGGTTGGAAAAAACGAAAATAAACATCAAGAATTAAATCACGCACAAATTTGACAACTCAAACGTCAAATTAGCGTTACTGTGAAGTTAGTTACTTATTTTTAAAACGAATAACTTATTTTATCTTTATTAATTAATTAAATTCAATTAAAAAAACGATTTAAGAGAAGAAAAAAATATTTGTGAAGTATTAATTAAAAAAATTTAATTAATTATAAATTAATTAAGATTTTTGATATATTGTTATATTTCAATTTCTTTTTTATCAATGGATGGCGCCACTTATTTCCTCCGATTAATTTGTTAAATTTCAATATTTAATTTTTGATTTATTACTAATACTATTATTTGATTATAATAAAAGTAATAAAAACGAAGAAAACGTTAAAAATAAATAAATTTAAAAAAAAATCTAAGTAATTAATATACAGATGAATGTGTTTGACATGAATGACATGTGACAGTTTATTTAACCTATAAATTTTTTAAGTCTATATTATTATCCCGGGAATTTAATATAACTACTATGTAGTGATAAAAACCGGATACCGGATATTCGCACATTATTGCGATATTTGAATAAAAATGAAATTAATAAGAATATAGCTATATCAACTTATTGGATCCAAGATACAAAATGAACTTTTTTGATGCTGGTTTAACTAACGAAGTAACTCTAAAAAGAGGATACTTTAATTAATAATTGATGATATTTCCACAAGGATCCTTCAAGAAATTAATTTTATAGCGAATTTTGAAAATTATCGATGAAAATTGCAGCATCGAAAATTTTATCAAAACTTCAAATATTGTTTTCTCAAAAATTAAAAGTTATTTTTCAAAACGTGTTGGTTCATTGGAAAGAGATTACTTTTATTAACATTTTGGAAAATGTTCATACTCATATTCCAAGAAATCGATTTTATACGAATTTTTGAAACTTAATCGGCGAAAATTGCAAAGTTCGAAAAAATTGTCGATTATTTGAAAAATTTATTTCTCTAGAACTAAAAGTGATTTTTCAAAACGGCTTTTTGCATTAAAAAGAGGATACTTTAGTTAATAATTGGTGATATTTCCACAAGGATCCTTCAAGAAATTAATATTATTGCGAATTTTGAAAATTATGGATGAAAATTGCAACATCGAAAATTTTATCAAAACTTCAAATATTGTTTTCTCAAAAATTAAAAGTTATTTTTCAAAATGGGTTGACATATATTCACAGTTTTATTTTCATTGCAAAAACCTATTTGGCAAGTTTATCTTATATTAGAACTTTTAGGGCTCTTCAAGATGTCAGTCAAGTTTTCCTGTTCTGATGGATCTTTATACTCTGCGAAAACCTCTGCTAATTGAAACAAAAAAATTTTTCGCGAGATATTTTCGTCGGTTGTTTCGATGTACAAAACACATGCATTTATTGCCGCTAACTCGAGAATGTAAAAAAATACTTGAAGAGGCCATCTTCGAGATCCGAGTAATACGACTATCTTGTGTGTACCTGTAGTCACTACACATTGCTGAGAAGTTTTCATATTGAAAACGTTAAAAATAACGACCGGCCATTTTAACCGGTCGGTATATATATGTACATAGGTATATCACATACGTATGCCATAAAAATGAAAGTGGGAAATCAAAATAAACTAGAATTTTATTAAATACATAAAGTTAGAAAAAGGCATAATATTATCATAAAATATTAAATGAAATTTAAAGAGAAAATCTTGCGAACAATTGATACAACCGGTCATTTTGACCGGTCGGTAGTTCTAGTGTTAAAAAAATGACCGGATAGGCCGGATACCGTATAGTTGCCGGATATCCGTTCCACCACTATTACAGCATTTGCGGTAGGACGTGGGGCTAAACCCAAATGTTTCTACTTCTAGGTCTTGTGTTAGTTCTAGTGATAGTGCTAGTGTAAAACTAGAATTAACACTAGACCTAGAACTAGAGACATGCGGATTTAGCCGCACGTCTCTCAAGACGGCTAAACCCGAATAATTCTAGTTCAAGGTCTAGTATTAGTTCTAGTTTCAGTTCAATAAAAATATGCAACATAGAGATATTTTATGCTAACTAACGCTACCTACCACCTACCAGCCGTCTTAAAAAAGGTACGGCTAAACGGAATGTTTCTAGTTGTAGGTCTAGTGTTAGTTCTTGTGCTAGTGTTAGTCTAGTTTTATTTGTTATTCAGCGTTAGATTACTTTACATTCTCTAAATAAAAAGAGAGTAAATTAATGGTAAATTTATACTTTAAAATCCATTAGTAGCAATTAGCAACACGAGTCGAGCTTATAAATATAAAAATTTATTATCGACTTATTTATTATTAATGAAATAGCGTTAAGTAAGAATTTCGAGATTAATTCAAGATAATAAATTTAGGTTGGAATGGATAAATTACCTTCACTTAATACATTGAATATTTTTTTATAACCTACAAAATGAAAACGTAAGCAACGAAATCGGATAAAATAAATAGAGATGAACTTAAAACGAACCGAATGTTTAATCAAGTCTGTTTAAAGAGTAAGAAAAAAAACATTATCTTAGAAATAGCGAAAGAAAATCTCCTGGTTAATTAAGCAAATTAAGACGAAGCTTGCTGGTTTTTGTTGATATAATGGAAAGGTTAAAAGTCGTAATAACGTCCACCTTTGTGTATCTTTGTCGTTGTCATCTCATTAAACATCATTATCGATTAGAATTTTCTTGGCGCCAAATAATTAGTTGAGGTGGCGATTAATTTTCAAGTGGGAACCTGTCACTACAACCTTCTAAACTCGTATAAATTATGCAAGATGGTACGAAACGAAACGAAACCCACAATGGGACATTTCAAACCCACACAAATATTTCGCAGGCAAATCATTTTCTTGGTGTAATCATTTTTATCTTCTAAAATCTAAAACATTTCATCTCTCTTAACTTATTTTTTTAAACCATTTCATTCAGACTACAAAAACAAGTGGTCTTTCTTATTAACAATCCCCCCTATTCACTTCATCTCACATTTTTTCTTCATTTTCATCTTTTTCTACCATGTGTTTCATTTCGTGTCGGCAAAGTTCTTTTGAAACGAGTTTGAATTTCGGGCGTTAAAAAAAATCAACATAAAACTTACTGTGTGACGGCTTGAGAAGGATTAAGTAGTATGATTTAACACGCTTTTTGGGTTTAAAACAAAAAAAAATAATCAACATGTGTGGTCAAATTAATAATTTTTTGTTGTTAATCGAAATTTCTTGCTATTTTTGATTAAGTAATATCAGTAAAACCGTATTTCACCATTTGAAAACTTGACAGGGCAATTGAACGACAAACAACCAGTACATTCCAGCTCCAATTAACGACAACGCGTAACGAGATCGTGCTTGTTGATACGAACACCGTTCGGTCCATTAGGTTTTCGCCGGGATTCTTTGAAAAATCCAAGGATAATAGCTTGTGAATACCGATTGAAAACTTATCATTGAACCGTTTTGTTAATTCGAATACAATTCAACAAATTAAATCGAGTTAATAAGTTTATTTCAAACGTCACAAGTGACAACTCTATGATAAGAGTACTACTTTACCGACGTCGTGTAAATTGACGTTTAAATAAAAAATAATTTGATTTTGTTCGGAGATAATCTTTTCTGTAACTCATTTTACGTTGTTTCAACATTAACATATCATTAAATAACGATTTGATTATATAATAATCTTTTTGGTTAAGAAATTTTCTGTTAAAGAATTGTCAAATTTACAATGCAATGAAGATAGTTTTAAATAAAACTTATTTAATTATAATTTATTTTGAAATCATTAATTGAATCATTTTAATAAACATGATTGTTAATTTAATCATTTTTCATAAATTAAATTGTAAGTTGAATAATATTTATTGTAAGTAAGAGTGAGGTTGACTTTGACACATCAACAACGTAATTTATTTTTGAATCAAATTTTATAACAATTTCTTTTATGTGGGGGTAAGTAAAAAACTTATTTTTAATTATTTTAATTAATCCTGCGAGAGTAAATTAAATTATAAAATAAATTAAATTGACAACTCTATGATAAGAATACTACTTTACCGACATCGTTAAAATTGACGTTTAAATAAAAAAATAAATTGTTTTATTCTGAGTATAATCTTTTCTGTAACTCATCATTGATAGATGCGCTGTTATTTATAATTTATTTTTTTAAATCAGTTATCATTGACAAATTGATAATTTCAATAAAAAGAGAACTTTCGCTATAAGTGCGTGGTAGCACTGTCTATCAAATTTGACAAATTACTTGTGGAGATTATTGAATAGAAATAAGTTTTTTCACTCATCAATCATCGATAAAATTCAAGAAAAAAAGAAGACTTAGTTTTAACTTTTAAATCGTAGCTATCTTAATTAGAGACGCTTGTTTTTAAATTGACAATTAGAATGTACATAACCTTACTTATTGTTAGTGTAATCAAATCTGACGTTTTAAGCTGTCATATCTGACATTTATTGTGTCAAATTCCTCAATAATTCCTAAAGATGTGAGAAAGTAAAAATAATTAATAAAATATTTCGTATATTGAGACGTTGAAGGTTATTTTCTAAGGTAGTAAGTAGAAACATCGTAGGCGTTAAGAATAATTTAGCAGGTAAAGAGAGAGACGAGGGCGTCCATAAATTTCGAATCTGAATGGAATTGAGCTACCTTCAACTAGTTTATTATTATGCATTATTATTAATAGTCGAATCTAACAACTCGAATCGATTTTTTTAAAGATAT